ACCATGCGTCATCCCAGGGGAGTGTGTGTCCAGCCGTGCGTCATTCTAACGCCCTGCCGGTGTCCATGCGCAAGGCTGCGGAGTTTTGAACCCGCAACCTCATACCACAATGCGCATTTCCAACCGGTGCTCTAACCACTGAGCTACATCAACTGGACACCCAGTTTCTCTTTTTACCGAACCCCAAAGGGACCCTGATAGGCTGATACAAGAAACACCGACCAGACTTATCATGAGTAAGAGTTGGACCCCACAGGAATGCGGAAAGGAAGAACATTTCGCGAAACCATTTCTAGGACCCCACAGGCAGCGGAGGACCTTCTGGCAAAAGCGAAACGTCTTCCAAATACCGGTTTCCGGAGCCCCACAACCTGCAATTAATAGCGGGGAAGAACGCGCATGAGCGTTTTCACATCGTCTGCGGCGTGGAAAAGTGGCTCCGGAGGACATCTCGCCGCGATTTTGTGCCGAAAGTTGAGAGTGCGGTAGGGAGTGCACGGGGTACTTTCCAAGGTCTCGCCCACCGTTTGAACCCAGCAAGTGTCCGGCCCCTTGGCCTACCTCGTTCCTGGAGCAGTGAGCAGGCCCCTCATGCATCGCACGTCGTAACCAGGCCTGGGGCTGTTGTTCCCTCGGCGAGGGGATGGAAATGGGCGGGTGGGGGCCTGCCATTTCAAATTCAAATTCAAATTCGAATGGGGGTGCGCCCCGTGTTGTCGTCACCAGTCGACCGATGCAAGGAACTTCCACATCCGCAGACATTTACGATGGCCATATGCTATTGCACCCGGAACGTGGCATCTGCGGGTTTGTCGTGGCGTGGCGTCGTCGATCAACATCGTTCTCGTGCGCTTCCCATGCACGTCGTCCGCCACCTCCGTTGCCGCGCTGTGCCATGGGTGTTGGTTAGCCGACGTGTGCATGGTCTTGCGGGTGACTTCATGTGTGGTAGGTATGTGGCGGATGCGCAACCGCGTGGGGACGTGGTCGGTGCGTTGAAGTACCGCTTCACAATTCTATCTCCTCCATCCGCTAAACATTGTCCCTCCACGCGCCATCCCTTGGTGCAGTGGAAGTTGGGAGCGTTGTGCGTGCTGTTCCTCCGAACATCACTAGTGTCGTCAGTAGAAGGTTCGTGCCTGAAGGGAACGACATCATGTATGCAGTTCAACCTTGTGGCGGTATAGAGCTGATCGTGGAGGGAGGGTTGACAGACCGGGACGTGGCTGTTGCGAGGACAGTTTATGCACAGCCGTACGTCGCACACCCACTACGATCAACTGATGCGCAAGATGGTGTTTTTGGTGGTGTCAGGGCTTGTCCTCGTCGGTGCTTGCGAGATTCAACCGACATGACGGTGATCATCATCGACGTCGGCAACCGTAAGAGGGGGGTGGTTGGTTCGCACATGTTCCTCTGGGAAATGTTTGTCATTGTGTTCGTGTTTGTTGTGTCCGTCGTCGTTGTTCTCCTTTGTTTGGGCGCTGTAGTGGTCGCTCTTCTCGCCACGTGTCAGTAACACTGTTGTTCGTTTGCACCACCGGTATCTAGGGACACGTTATCGCACTTTTTCCAGTCGGGCTGCTTCGGGCGACCGGAAAGCCAACAGACTATCACGCAGGATTTTGTATGTGATTGCAATAAATAAAATGAATTAAATAATGCAGATCCTTTCCTGTTGTGTGTGTCCGGCTTCGAGCAAGACCCTTCAATTGCGGTCTTCGCTGGTCCCCGGTCTTAGGAATCTTCTATTTTGATTCGGAACAGTAGAGAATCATGCAAATAAATAATCATAAAACTATGGGGTGCAATGCATGCATCAGTCACGTCAATCTGATTTTGAGAACTGTGACAGATTCTTTAAAGAATGCAAACATCAAGCATGGCAATGCAAAAAAAAAAGGCAAGACCGACTGACTCGAGCAGAGACAAGGGTAATTGAATGAGGGAAGAATGAGAACTCATAATAGTCCCAGGGAGTACAAATGGAAGAGAACATGGCCAGCACCAATCAAGAGTCCTCACTCAACCCTCTAAACTTTACTCTGTCTCTCACTTTACTGTCCGTCGTTTGGGCTTCTTGCCATGTCTCCGTGCTCTCTTAGGTTGTGGCTTATGAATGTAAAGCCACCTAAAGCCCACTAGTTCCAGACACTTCCAACCAAGTCCCATGATACGGAAGTCAAGCATAGCACAAAATTCCTCCCATAGAGTGGGGAGATATGGCTGAGAGAAAACGCCCCTCCTGAGATGCGAAAACTCTGAGGGCTCAGTCACTGCCTCGTAGTCAATTACTGCTGGCGATACGTATCTCTTGGCCAAGTCCACCAGTCCACCCCAATAAGAGTCATCAGAAAGATAGTAGGGGACCGGAGGCTTGGG